GGAATTTGAGGCTCAGCATCTCAGTAGTGGTGGGAAGGCTGGGGCTGCAATGGAAGTTTTCCAGAGACCACATCAGCCCAGTTCAGACCAGGGCTGCCTTGGTGTGTTGTGGCCACAGGGCATGGTGCAGGAATGGTCATTACAGACTTTTGGGCACAGCTCAGGGCAAATGCCAAAATTCCACCATCTGAGGGTCATTCAGCTTGAGCTTGTGTTTTCAAACATCACTGTGTCCTCCCCAAGCAACCCCTCCTTCTGTCCCTAAGGATGGAACGTTCTGGAAGATTTCGTCCACCAAGCCATGTCATTTATAAGGCAAAATCTTCCTATACAGGACAAATGGCAGCCAACACATTGAGTGGTAGCTTTAGCCGTTTCATATTTCAACTGAGGAGTATTTGGCTACAACTTATTTTAATGTGAAGTACAATTTGAGGAAGTGCAATGTTTTATATTTATATTAGAAGAGTACAGGACTTCCTTATTTCTTAAACTATGATATTACTGAGTATTCATAATACAATTTTTATCTTCTTTGAAAAAAGATTTATGAGTAATTTGTATTTAAAATAGTTTAAAAGTACAAAAAAATTCAGACAGAACAAATGGAATAAATATAACGATAACCCTACTTCCCAAAGATAATAATCAAAGATCTTGAGGTACATTTTCATTACTTCCCTTTAAGCACAAGTTCACGTAAATATGAAGAGATTTGTGATAAAATTGAAATGTTAGAAGAACACCTATGAGTTATTGCTAAGTAAACCAGAGTCTGGCAAATAGATGCAGATGGAACCAAACCGAAGAAAGTCCAAGGAGAGGCCCACTCAAAGGGTCTAAAGGATTTTAATTTCAACTCAGAAGCTTTGGGGGGGGGAAAGTAATCAACCAAATTCACCATAAATCCTACTGTTGAGTAAGCACAGACCTCCTTCTTGAGCATAAGCAGTCAGAAAAAAAAAATCACCAGATAACATGAAAAGATTCCAGTCCCAAAGAAGAGTACATTCAGAGTAACTGAAAGAAACACTTCCCAATGAAACATAAGAAATGGGAGAAAACTTTTTTTTAAAATTATTTTATTTATTTATTTGACAGAGAGAGATCACAAGTAGGCAGAGAGGCAGGCAGAGAGAGAGGAGGAAGCAGGCTCCCCACGGAGCAGAGAGCCCGATGTGGGGCTCGATCCCAGGACCCTGGGATCATGACCCGAGCCGAAGGCAGAGGGTTTAACCCACTGAGCCACCCAGGCGCCCCAGAAATGGGAGAAAACTTTTAAGCAAAGTCCCAAGATATATTTTCAGTGGGACTTGTGAGGTTACACCATCTATGAAAACATCTCATCATGGAAGAGTGTTTAATCTGCAATGCAATTACAGAGCCAAATAAAAAAAGGCAATGTCCCCAGAAAAACTTTGGTATGGGAACTGAGTATCACTGGCTGTAAACATCACGAGAGGAGAGACTATGTGCTGCCTCACAAAAGGAACCACAGCCACTTACAAAGTAGTGCTCCCCGCCCCCCCCCGGGACCAACACCAGGTTCAGGGCAAAGAACATGTTTAAGGGGCTGCACTCAGCACTTCTGTAGGAAATTGCAGGACCAATAATTTGCTCAACAAATAAACTGCAATGAAGAAAGAGACTTATCAACCAATACCAATGACCAAATCTGAACATTTCAAACATTCATGAGACAACTGCAAATTTGAACACTGTGTAACTATTAGACCATATTAAATACTATTAATTTTAAGACCGAGTAGCTTTTATAAAAAAAACCTTTTAGTGGTAACCAGTGAAATATTTATAGATGAAGTAAGATGTCTGGGATTTGATCAGAACAATGGAAGAGGGAAAGTTGAGGGGTATAAATGAAATGAGGTTTGCCAGGAGTCGATATCTGGGCTGTGGGCACGTGGGGAGTGGTCATGCTCTTCTACTTTTGTATACATTTGGAAAATGACCAAAATAAATTGTTTAAAAGTTGCACTAGACAACACAAGTAAGAGGTTGAGTATTCTAGAAAAGCCAGCCAGTAACCTAGAACGTTGCTCAAGAACTTCTCCCAGAACTTAGAGGAAATGGAAAAGAGAGCACGAGTGAAACTATACGAAACCCATAGGAGACACCCAGGAGATGAAAGGCAGACATAAAATCAGAGTTCTAGAAGGAGGCATGTACAGAACCACCAGAGGATGCCCAATACACTTCATTAAAGAACATTTCCATTATCGGTTTCTCCTTTAGTCACGGAGTTATTTAGCAATATTTTATACATCCAAATATGCAAACTTATAAATTCAAGTTTTTATTATTAACTTCCAACTTAATTGCACATAGGGAACATGTTCTGCATAATACCTATTCTTGAAATTTTTTCAGGGCTTGTTTTAATGACTAGGACAAGTAGTTTCCAGAAACATGCCTGAGTGCTTGTGAAGATCTATTCTCTAGTTCTTGGATGTAGAGTTCTAACCATGCCCATTGGTCACTTCTCTGCGTTGCCTAGTTTTTGCTTGTCTGACATATCAAAAGGGAAGTGCTAGAATTTTCCACTGGTAGGTGGATTTGCCACTTTCTTCCTATAGTTCTAGCCATTTATGGATGAATTTTGAGGTTGCGTTTAAAATTAATGACTCTTTGTAAATTGAACCTATCATTACATCATGAACTTTCATGTCCTTAACAAAGCTTTGTCTCAGATTTTGTCTGAGAATAAAATAGATGGTTTGTATTTGTCCCATGTGATATTTTCCCCATCCTTTGTCGATTTCGCACTGCCTTACGGAAACCAGTTTCTTATAAATGGTGCTCTTAAACCTATCTGTGGTGAAAGATTTTTTGTTTTCCCCAAACCATTATAGCCTCAGACTTTTAAAAAAATGTTTTAAAAGATTAATAAAATTCTGGACTTAAAGACCTGTAAAATACAGGCGAGATATTTTAGTATTGGATCCAACACACATAAAATAACTGTTGAATTGCTTGGAAACTTTTTCACATGAAGCTTCTAAGATCTTATCAACTCCGAAACAGGCAGCTGCTTAACCAACTGAGCCACCCAGGCGTCCCTGAATACCAATGTTTTAAACACACATCAGGATTTTGTTCTGTCCTAACATCTACCTTTTAACCGGCAAGTTTAGTTCATTTATCGTAATTGATGAATTTGACATGTTTCTCTCATCTCTGTAAGGTTCCTCTTTTCCCCCAACGCCAAGTTTATACGGCCTTGAATTACAATTTGAGACCAGGTGCTTTAGACTGTGCCCCCTCACCCCCACCAATTCATGGTAAAACTGAATTCCCAAAGTGATAGTATTAGGAGCGGAGACTTTCGGGTGATCAGGTCATGAGGTGGGATGGGGAATCCCTCATGAGTGTGACTAGTGGCCTCATCCAAGAGGCCCCCGAGAGATCCTGTGCCTCTCCCACCATGTGAAGACACAGAGAGGGGATGGCCGTCTGTGGACTGGGGGACCGGTCCTCACCAGATACTGCATCTACTGGGGCCTTGACTTCCAGCCTCCGAAACTGCAAGAAATGTTTGTTTGTAAGCCACCCTGTCTATGGTTTTCTGTGATTGCAGCCAAAATGGGCCAAGAGAGCAGGTTAACCGAAGTCTATGCTGCTCACCTCGCCCTCTATCATCTCCTACAACGCTTCCCGGCTTTGATTCCTACTCACAGTCAACTACTTCATCCCAAGGATTTGAATGGGGACATTTGGGTGGCTAGACGTAAAATTCTCAAGTTTGAAGTTTTTTTCTTTTCCTTCGGTCCTTAGAAATGTTAACTCCACACACAGGGCTGCTGCTGGAATACCTGACGTCCGTTGCTTCTGGTTCATGGTCTCCAGTTTTCAGAATGAGCTTCGTCTTTGTTAATGCTCGAGTTCACTAGCCAGCAGTGAAGATGGATGAACATTCTAGACACATACCAACACGAAAGATTCTCACGATATTGGGGGAAATGTGATAATACAACACTGTTACTCTTTTTATGTAACCTTAAAAAACACACAAAACAGACTCAATGGTAAACTGATCAGAGATGCGTCTATATGGGCAAGATTGTGAAGCAAGGAGACGATCAACCCGAAACCCAGAAGGTGGTTCTCTCGTGGTGGATGGGGTACAGCAGGAGAGAGGTACATGGGGTACGGTGCAGGAAGGGCTCTGAAGTACTGACCGTATGCTTTTGTCCCGCTGGAGGTGGGAACATGGGTATTCTATTAATACCTTATATTTTTCTGCGCGGGGGGGGGGGCGCATGTCCATAGCATCAGGTAAATACCTTGTGACAGACTGGATGTCCAGGGGCAGCTTACAGGTCAGGGTACTGGTGACAGGGTGCAGCAGGGTCCACACCCTACGAGAGTAACTGCGGGGGCCACTCACGGCCCAAACTGCCAGAGATGAATCAGGGATGGGGATAGGAATGGAGGAACTCTAAGTTTGCTCTAAATTAAGAAATACATCGGGGTACATCTGCGCCCATCTTCACGTCCCCACCGGGAGGCCTGGCAGAACGAGCGGTCGCCAGCTGCTCTCAAGCTCAGCTCCAGGCCTTTAGGGCACCCACGCCTCCGTGGCTCCTGCCCCAGCATCAATACTCGGTTTGGCCAAGGCCGCTCTGGGAGCCTTTGATTCCACCGTGTGCACAGACTGCTTCTCTGTCCAGCCTCCAGAGGTTGTGGCCTTAATAAGAGACTCAGAGTTTCACCCACTGTCCTGCAGGCTGCGTCTTGGAAGGGAAGCCTCACTCAGGCATCCCCGCAGGGAGCCCACTGTGGTTCTCTGGTCGTGGGGACAGATGACACTTTGGCTCCTGCTTTCCTCCCTTTGAGTCTTCCAGGACCCTGACCATGGTAACATCGGAGACTTGCTGAAGCAAGTTTTTTATTAGTCGATTTCCCTCCCCTATGTGATGACTTTTAATTAATGACACATTTCTTAAAGATGAGCCAAAGAAGGAGGCACATAAACACAGAACTGCATCCAGGAGAGCTTTTATTCATACGGAACAGTTTTAAAAATACAGAATAAAATAGCTTTATCTCTACTATTATTCACAACATCTGGTCCAAATAGTACATATTTTTAAAATACTTAAACGTTTAATGAAGCCATGTTAGAAAAACAATATGAAAATTCTTTTTAAAAATTCCATAAAAGAATTACACATCTCAAAAAACAACCCCACCCCCAAATACCCTCGGTATGCAAAATAAACATAAAAAACAAACAAAGAAAATCCCCGAAAGGTATATAGCCAAAGTCAGTCACAAAAACTCAAGGAAAATATAGGCATCCCCACTGCTTTAAGAACAGTCAGAAATTTATTAATGTGTCAAACAAAGGTGGTTACCAATGAACAGAAAAGGGTATTAACTCGAATTGTCAGTAGGACGGCCGTCCTGGTGTGGGGGGCCCTACATGCCAGGAAACAAACACAGGAAGTCGAGGGGCGCTGGATGGGACTTCTGCGGAGTGAGGACGAGGCACAGTCAAGAACCACCTCAAAGGACAGGAATGTGTGTGAGGCTGCCGCAAAGGGGTGCCCAGCGTTAATGTGCTTTCTGCGTCCACGGGGCTGGGGGGAGCCGAGTGCCGGCACCACGGGCAGTCTTCTCGCGCCGCCACTGTAGGTGAAGTGGCGAGGATCCAAATCCTAAGGGGACAGAGCACCACACGCACAGCGTGTGAAAGCCCCAGGCGCATCTCTGAGGCCAAGGGTGGCGCCCGCAAAGAGACTCCCCAAAGTCTCAGGCCCACTCACGTGGGCAGCACAGCTCCCCAGGGCCCAGGGGTGGGGTGCCCGTGCAATGCTGCCACCCAGCGCTGGCCAGGTCCCAGAATGAGGCCTCTGCCACAGCCACCTAGCCACATGCCACCTGCCACTCCTGCCCCATTGGTATTATGCCAGATGACCATTGCCAACTTCAAGTCTAAGTTGCCAGTACTGGTATTTCAGCAGGGCCGTGAACTAAGGAAGTAACAACTTAGCTCGTGGTGATAAAACAGACGCATGGGTAAATAAAGTATACACACATACTAGAGATTCATCAATGGAGAAATTCTATTATCACATGACATTGTCATGAAAATTATATCATTCCCTCCCTGGAAAACTGTGACTATTATCCTGGGTAGAAATGTTACTTTACTATATGGAAATACTGCAATATTCATGCATAAACCAAGGCGCCATCAGGAAAGTAAGTATTCTACAGTATAAAGCAAATCCTGCATGTGAATTTGTCACCATGAAAATGGGAAACCATCGGGCCTTGGGATGCTTCAGCTGGCCTGGTTAAGCCACTTTTCTCCTTCACCAATCACCAGAAACTCACCACAAGTTAACAGCTAAAACTGTCTTGAGAAAGACTCTGTATGAATGAATCTAAGTTTAATTACCTAGTGAGACAAAGACTGGAGCCATTTCCCATTATTCTGTCAACCATGTTAGATGTTTTATTAAAACCAGTGGTGGGATCTCCTTTGCCACCCACCGTGATATGACCGCATCAACCGTCCTTATAAACACTTTCTACTTCTCACATCAAGATCACCAAAGTGAATGTAAAGATGGTGGGTAGGTGGTCACTATGGAAACTGGAGTCTGAATGGCCTGCCCAAGGACATTTACATCCAAAACACTTTGAAACATTCCACTGGCCAAACAAAGCCTGGTGGGTATGCACCCCAGCAGTGCAGGCCAACAATGTAAGTGGTAAGTGTACAGGTACAGATGAGGCACGGCCACTGTGTTCCCCCAAACTTCCCTTTCACGTGTGTGCTTAAGCCTCAGGAGCAGATGAATCCATTTTTCTCTTGATTACAGACTGATTCTACAGCATATCTGCCAGCAGGAGGACCACTGTCAAAAATGGCATTCATTAGGAGACTCTAACACTCAAGCAAAGGTGAGTTTCACAGGCCGCGCAGAGGTACCAGACTCAATGGGACCTGTAGTCGGGCTGCCTTCTCTCCTCCCCACCTCCTGTCCCCCTTCCCCATGCCTTAGGGAATCCAAAGTTGGCCCCAATGGAGCAAGAAGGGGAACATTTCTAACAGGGGGTCGAGGTCCAGGGCTTCCCTCCATAATTAAATGCTTGCAGAAAACATCCACCACCCAGACCAGCAGATCTACAACCTCCCAATAAAACCCAGTCCAAGGAGGGGTTTCAGAAGGGAGGGAGCGTCTGAATGTTTGAAGCACATATCCTGAGTGTCACTCACTGGGACGGACGATGCCAGGTTGAAAGTTAAGATTATCCAATGGTTCAGATGCTTTTATTTGTATATTTGGCCCTTCTGCTCCCTTAGTGAGCTAGGATCTCTGGCATGTTTAACAGTTTTCCCCACTTTTCAGGGCAGAGAAATTAGAGATGCTGAGCAAAAACACAAACAGAAGGAAACTAAGAGCGCCTTGGAGCAGGAGGGCTTCTGACATCAAGTGCTTACCAACCAAGTCACGGGGACGACCGTCACAAAAAAGTGTGCTTCCAAAGTTAACTAGGCATCAGGTACAATTTTTAAAAACAACATACAAAATTAAATGTAATTTAGAATCTGATTTTTTAAACTTAATCTGCAACCAGATCTTGGCAAAACAATGCAGGGCTCTGAACTGTTCTTGCTAGAATACACTTCGCAGCCCCAAACTTCCCAGGAGCCAGGGAGGCTGCAGTGACAATCACGCTGCCAAAGACACCCCAGTGCAGTGGAGCGGAGCCGGCTGTGGGAGCAGCGAACGCACCTGGGGACACGAGGCTGCGCGGAGCCATGCTCTGCTATCAGAGACAGGAACACCTGCGGCCACCCAAGGCTCAGCCAGGTCAACAAACCATCTAGGAAGCACCACCTCACGTGGCGAGGTCACTACTTGGTGTTTCAGGGTTTTCCTTTGGCTGACAAATTTCAAACCGTATTTCAAAGAAGTCACTTTTTTCAGAAAGGATTTAGTGTTATTAATGAGAACCCGACAGAAGGGCCTGCCACCTGCTTTTCTCACCACCATTCTGCAATGACTGAAGTAGGAAAGGTGCTTTTGGCCAGGGGGTCTACTCTACCCCTCTGCAAAATCAAGATCCAGTGGACACACAACATGGCAACCCACACAGAGTCTCCTTAAGCCTTAAGTGCCGGAAAAGACTCGAAACAGAACTGCAGTGGTGAATTTACCAGGATGCCTGACCATTCAATATGGCGACTCTGCCGATTACCTGCCCCCAGCTTCCCTTCTTCACAAAACAAATTCACCTATAACTTAACCCATAAGGTTTCTGGGCTCTGGTCCAGTAGTCAGTTTTGATAAATAGATTAGGCATTACAGTATTTACACTTTCATGGTATCAAGCAATACAAAACACAACCACAATAATGGTTACTGGCCTTCAAAAGCCATGATGACAAGCTTCCCTGATGGTGTCCACAGCTTTACAAATGCTGGTTCTTTTCTTAATGGGAGGTGAGGGGTGGGGGACAAGTGACAGGGATGCAAGGTGAGAGGGTCACATGGAAAACACTGATTTCAAAAACCTGCTATAGTCAATAACATTAAATAGGAATAAAATCTTGTAATTTATAGACACGCGCAACAGTAACTGACATCCACATGACAGCAGAGTCAAGACTCCCATGAACATCTGCTTAGTGCCATCGTGTGGCACTCTACACCCATCGCACCAGCCTGGAGTGATAAATGTCAGATAGAGTGTCTCCATTAGAGTGAAAAAGAAGCCCGTGTGAAATGTGCTGGCCCAGCCTGGGCCAGGATGGCACCAAGAAAGAGCAGCTGAGAATCAGATTCAACTTCAAGGTACTTCCCTTCCCTTCCAATCCCCCAAACAGATTTCAATTCTAAGAACATCTGTACAGACCTTACTCACACACAGACATGGGCCTGGGGTAACCATGTCACGGTTTTCAATCAGGCCAATAGCTTCCCTCTACAGGAGTATCAGGGAACACAGAATCACATTTGACCCATCAGTTGTGACAGTGTGAGGATACTGGTGCCCCGTGACCAGAGGGGGTCTCTGTGGGTTGCAGGCCAAGGTCAAATTAAATAGGAGCAAGTCCAGGTGCTTCTGGGACAGAAAGCCCCTGGACCATGGAGGCAGCTTGTAGGAAAGCTAGCCCAGGGTGCTGGAAGGAGACCAAAACCAAGGAACCGCTGTGGATTTCAAACACCCACTCCCACAGGAGGATAGGAACTTCAAGTTCAACGGACGCTCTTAAGGGCAAGGGGTAGGGCTTAAATAAGAAGACAAGTGAGACACGATATTAGACACGATCACCACCCACAACAAAAAAGCTATCTGTAATCGTCTTAGCTCTGGGTGCAGAATGTAAATGCAGATATACAAACATAGGTTACTGCTTGTTAGTCAGCAAGGAACTACAGATTCATGCCCCACTGCGGCCGGGCCACAGGTGACCTACAACTATACTGTGGCCTGCGAGTCCTCATCCGGACTCCGGCTGGTGGCGCTCTTCCCGAGGCCTTTCCACGTGTAGCCCGCAAAGGTTGGGCTGATGGGTAAGTAGCTGAAGCATCTGTATTTTTTAATAATGTTCATGCCAAATGGCAAATCGTAGGACTCCATGCCATCGAGCGACTTGCTCCCTTTGCCCACACCCTTCTTCCATTTCCTGATTCCTCTTTCCTCTGGAGTACCTGGAACACACACATACAGACACACACAGAGCAATACAAAGGAATGTTTAGCTTGACAGTACCACCAGGAACTGAGCTTGCCCAGCGTGCTGTCCCGCATAGGGAGCTGCCGGGAGGACAGCAAGGAGCCCTTAAGGAGGAGTTGATGGCACTCAGCCATCCAGGTGCCTGAGCCAGAAATCTAAGAATCACTAACCCATCCTTGTGCTTTTTACTCCACATTCAAGCCATCTGATGGCTCCAGCCTCCTCCCTGTCCTTCCACATGACCCATTTCCTCCCCTGTCACTGTTGAGGTCCGGAGCACGCCTCATTACCGCTTTCCGGGGTCATCACAACAGTCCCCTTCCTGCCTGCTCTTCCATCTCACCATCTCCTTCCTCCAATCTGTTCTCACAAAACCACAAAATGGGACCCATTTATAATGCCTTCAACAACTGGTCAGGGCAAACCACCCGCATCCAGGCATAATGAGTTCTATCCTGCTTTGCTCCGTGTGTGTGTGTGTGCACGCGTGTGTGTGTGTGTGAGAGAGAGAGAGAGAGATGGGGTGGAGGGAGACAAGGAGAGGGATACACCTGCTCTGTATTCTCCACTTGTCATGCCCCTTTTGTGAGGATGAACTTCTACTGGCATGAACATTCAGGGACACTGTACCCCAACAGATGAGTGAGGGAGAATGATGTGGGCCCACTGGGCTCAGCAACTGCTGAGCCTTGGATTCGATTCATAAATCTTTCCAGTGCAGAGAGGCGCACTGGCACCTGCCCTTGGCTACACAGGACATACTTCTGTGCCCAAGCCTAGATGACGAGTTTGAGTCCCCAGTGAGTAGAAGGAACATTATTCTCTTACATCTAAACTATGCCCTATGCCCTCCCGTCAGTGTTTCTGTGACGGGGCTCTCATTCCCACCTGTCTGACTCCCAAGCCTGCCTCTCAGTTCACTCTGAGAGTGTGTGTTACTGACATCCGTGAATCTAACGCGGTCCACGAATTCATGCACGTGACTCCCTCTGCCTGATGTGTTCATCCCTAGTTTCCCCAGCAACCTCTTCACAGAGGCTTTTTGGAGGTGTGCGGTCTTCAGGGGAAATACCTCAACAAAACCTTCTAGCTCAAGAATAAGCATCAGCCTTCCTTGAGGGAAGGTGAATCCAACCGCGCGTCCACAGAAGCACTTTCCTGCCTCCTCTGGGAAGCTGGGAAGGCTGCAAGGCAGGACCCACATCACCTCCCCGTCCAGCACCCAGCACTGGGCATAGAACGCACACCGGAGGAACAAGGGTTGCAGGTGTCGGGAAGAGAGTCACCTCCATTGGTCCCCTCAGTCACCGATCCTGACAACAGCCTGCACCGACCATACTCACTATCTTGAGGTCTTAGTTGGCGGGGCCCTGCCTCAGGAAGGAGGAGGAACCCCCACGGGCTGTCAGCAGCTCAGAGGCGTGTCTGAGCAGGCTGACAAAAGCCGCTGCGGGGACTGAGCAGGGATGCACGGGGCGGGGCAGACAGCCTGGAGAGTGACCACGGTGAGGGACTTCCTTGCTTTCTCCTAACTGAGCAAGGAGGAAAAAATCTGCCAGGTTTATTAGCAAAAAACGGACTCACAAAAGGAGTCTGGGAGTGTCATCTTAACCACTTAAAAGACCGTCTTAACCACCAATGGCCCTGAGCTGATTTGTTCTGCCTGCTTCCCGATTTACTTGGCAAAACGAGTGCTTCACGCGTGGAATAAGCATGCGTGTATGTACCACATACCTGGGATGGTATTATCCAAAATAAAAGCCACGCAGCCTCCTACAAACATGGCAGTTGTGAGAAGAACGTTCAACACCTGATCGATTCCTGTTATCCCTGGAAACAGAACACAGTGGTAGGGTCACGGCCATGGCAAGGAGCACTGGGGGTGGGGGGTGGGGCAGGAGAGCCACCAATCACCAGTCAATGCGATGCACAAAAGTATAAATTTCTGTTGGACATGAGTAGATAAATTTTTGCCAGTAACATTTTAAACTTTTATAAATAATTTCAACAATAATTAAGAGGTTACTCCTATAAGGCAAATGCCCCAACAGTGGTCCCCAGAAGAGAAATCTAAGAGTGAAGCTCACCCTAATCTGCTAACATCACACTGGGGTGTGGTGTTAGCAGATTAGGAAAAGAAAATTAATAAAAAGATGACTGTTGTTAAGGCTGAAAATATTACAAAGTGAGTAAGACAACAAAAATATCTGTGGTGTTTGCAATCAGATAAAGGGTTTCAGAATCCTGGATCACTGATTTGTGCTTAGCTGCTTTTAAAGGATTTTATTTATTTATTTATTTATTTATGAGAGAGAGAGAGAGAGAGAGAGAGAGAGAGTGAGTGCGCACAAGTAGGCAGAGCGGCAGGCAGAGGGAGAGGGAGAAGCAGGCTCTCCACTGAGCAGACAGCCTGATGTGGAGCTCGATCCCAGGACCCTGGGATCATGAACTGAGCCAAAGGCAGCCGCTTAACCGACTGAGCCACCCAGGCGCCCCTGTGCTTAGCTGCTTTTAATTAGGAGCAACTGCATGTATATAAATGAACTCATATGAACGTGATATATTAAAATATAAAAAGCAGCAAGAATCTCCTTGTTATTAGAAACTCTCACACTTTCTATATTAAAAACATATGATCCTTAGGAGTGCCTGGGTGGCTCAGTGGGTTTTGGCTCAGGTCATGATCTCAGAGTCATGAGATCAAGCCCTGCATCAGGCTCCACGATAAGTACAGAGTCTGCTTGAGGTTCTCTCTCCTGCTCTGCCTTTGCCGTCCCCCACTTAAAAAAACAGTTTTCCTTTGTTCATTTTTCATGACATCAGGTTATTAAAATAAAAAGGTGTTAAAAAGGTTAATCTTGAATTCAAAAGTTACAATCCTGGTAGAAAGACATGTATTTGAAAGTCTATGAAGCTGAGTTTTAAGGAATACATTTTCATAAAGCATTAGTCTGAGAAATCAAAAGGTTTTACACACAGGCACTGTCCCAAAAGACAGGGTCCCAGTCAATAAAGAGACCTTAATGTACACATGAGTCACGTGCAGCCTCCAGCTCATGCTGGATGCGCAGGGGGCTTCCAGATCGGCTGTGGCAGAGTGAGGCTTGAATCAAACACATGGACAGATGTCAGAGGAGACAGCTCCTGAGGTTCCAATGCCCTCTGTGACAGGGGGTGGGGTGTCTGGGAACCGACAGCTGGGGTTCCAACTACTCCCAAGACTCAAGGCCAGTTTTCCTTACCTGTGACGAGAGGGTTCTGTCTGAGGTAACTTGGAAGGACGAGCCCGAAGAATATTGAAAATCCAAGCACAAAGAGGTTCCGGGAAGAATTTAAGTCGATGAACTGCAGGTTGGAGAGCCCAACAGCTGTGATCATTCCTGAAGAGAAACAGCAGATGGCAAGTTGCACGGAGCTCACCTACAGACGGGTGACGGGCCTTGCAGACTCCCCACATCGTCCCTTCTCTGTCCCACCAGAAACCAGCTGGGACACAGAACAGTGACAGGATGGGGTCAGAAAGTGACCACCTAGCTCTCTGATCCAAATGGCTTACGGCTGACACAGGGACACAAACATCACACGACACCTTCTTTAAACCAAGCAGAAAACTGAGGACATTGGTTGCCCCCTGAAAACCTCTATGCAAACATCTTGACTCAACTGGGAAACCCACCCGAAGATCTGGGCCCTGTTCACAACTGGATGGCACAGAGATCATGTCGAGTGCCAAGGTAAAAATGGTCAGTTTTAAATGGCCATTCAGGGGAGAAGTTAAATCAATTAGATACACCAATTAAAGATTAAGGTCATCTCATTTTTCCTAGCACAAGTATTCTACATTTGGTTCTACCTTTAACATAAACTCAACTCAGAGATGGCTGAAGGTTTTCACGTTTTGAAGATTCCCCTTTGTATTTTTAAACAGAAATGTATTATTATCTCCCATCTCACGGAAGGGATTCGTTAGCAAATGTGAAGAGGAGGAAAGAGGTCAGGCTACCAAGGAAATGGGATCTTACCGAAGAGAGTACAGAAGAGGGCGCCGAGCACGGGATCGGGGAGGGAGGCGAAGAGGGCACTGAACTTGCCAATCATGCCCAGCGCCAGCATGAGGGCCGCGCCATACTGGATCACCCGGCGACTGCCGACCTGCGGGACACACCAGAAGCAGACGGCACTCAGTGCCAGTTCTGCGCCCATTCTCATCCAGTGCCCCCTGCCCTACCCCCATCCCGGAGCAAGTGTAACAAAACCCCACACATCCCCTAGATCCTGAAAACTTGTTGTTAAGACAAGTCTCATCAGATAGTGACGATTGACCTCAGGGAACCATTGCTATACAGACACCCCAAGTAAAGAGATTCCTCTCCTCTAGCTCATCCTGTCCACGCCCCAGGAGGAGGGCAGCACCAGGGCTCAGCCTCTGCTTCCCTGCACTCTGGGTAATGTCATTTCGGCGTGGCTGTGCTCCAGCTGTCGGGTCCCAGGTTTCGAATGCCCTTACAGTCAGCAGCTAGGATGACCTAACATCAAACACAAAAACCCTGCTTCACCCTGCTTTTCTCTTCTGGGCTCTTGGAATCACCCTTTACCAAGTTAATCACCCCAAAGCAATTCACCTTCGTCTCCATCTTCCCCACACCCCGAATCAGACAGTAGCCCTGGATAATTCTGGAATCCCCTCTCCTCAAGGAGCTTTGCTTGTGAGAGGTGGCACAGCCAAGAGGCAAAGGAGTGTGGATTCTCAGTGTCCCCTGCCTGGTGTGTATCCCACTCCGCTCTATCCATGTGACCAGGACAAGTCACTTGGCCTCTCTGGGTGGCGGGATCCTCACTTCTATAATGATAAACCACAAGGTTTGGCTTTAGGGGTTAAATGAGACAAGGTGGAAAACAGCGTGAACAGTACCTGGCAAGCATGAGGCCATAATGACAGCCTCCCAGCTAGGTTTGCTGACTCTGGCCTTTCCTTTGCCTCCCTGTCCTCTCCACTGTGGTAGAGTGACCTTTCAAACACAGCGATGTGGGATGTCAATGCTCCTCTGCCCCCCCCTTAAATCCTCTGGTGCTCATGAAATAAAATCCCTTCGCAGATATCCCTAGACCTGTCTACCCAGAACACACCCACATCCCCCCCTTTCTGGCTGGTTCCAGACACGTCCTTCAGAAAACTGCCCAAATGCTACCTCCTCTTTAAAAAAAAGTCCTCCTTGATTCCAAGGCTCTGCCTTCCCACACTGGGCCTCTGCAGAACCATTATATTTTCCACACGGTCTCATCTTTATCTGCTCAACCTGCTCTCTGCCTTCTGGAAACTTCTACCTACCCTGCTGTCCCCTAGGCAGTGGGATGTGGAGCGGGCAATAGGCTCAAGAATCCTGTACTGTTGGCCCCTACTGTGTGCTGTCTCTTCCAGGAAAACACCCCGAGCACATAAACTGAGTAAAAGAGGTTCCAAAAGGGACTGGGGAGTGTCTGTAGGGCTTTAAGTATGACTTACAGTGAGAAGATGGCTACTTAAATTTAATTGAAATGAAATGAAATGAAATGTCATCTCTAGTCCCTCAGTCGCACCAGCCACTATATCAAGTGCTCATCAGGAACACATTGTGTGGTCCCCGCACAGAACAGCAGTGCAGGCAAATGTCCGCTGTGCCCACCACACCATGCTTTCACTGGCTTGCATTGGTCTAGAGCTTCCAGCAGCATCTCAGAGGACCCAAACGTCAGTTGGTTAAGAATCAGAGGAGAATCTTACTGAGCTGACGGAGGGATGGCTGTTCCTCCCAGCTGACCCTGGAGGCCAGGCTCAGCTTTTATAATCTACCGTTCCCCACCTCTCCCACTGAATCTTCGAGCCCAGGGAAGCAGCAAGAAAGGGTATGCAAACTAGAGAATCGAGCAAAAATGACTTCTGCTGGGTGGCGTTACATGGTAAGGAAGCCTGCCGCTTTCAGCAAACGTTTTTGGGAACCTACTCTGTGACCAGCACTTGTTAGACTGGAGGGGGAGGGGAATATGGAGAGGAGTAAGCCACAGACTCACGATCACATCACAGATCATATCACAGCACTGCCGCAGTTGTTACGGGCTGTGGGAAGCCAGGTGGGAGGAGGAGCTGGGAGGAGCTGCGGAGGGCTCCACAGAGACGGTCTCAGGGGATGAGGAAGAGCTCCCCAGAGGAAGAGCATCCAGGCACGGGGAACCACCTGTGCGAAGCCCACCCCCCCAGCCGATCAGAGGTGCCAGGGGGAGGCCGAGGCTGGCCCTAGGGACCCTTGAAACAATAAACCTTTATGAAGACTAACCGTTAGAAAAGGCTGATCTGCCTTGAAGGCTCAAAATAAACAAGCAGCAACTAAGCCATTCTTCAGCTCGATGACTGAACCAAGTGCCGAGTGCCTATTACACACTTCTGTGAGCGACGTGGGGAGCACAGGCCTAATCCCTGTCCCCTCAGTGCTGACGTAGAACCTTTGCCTCACCCCTCCTGCTGCCCACTCTCTGGACTCCATTCCCTGCCTCCATTCTGAACTCCTTCTTGAATTATTCTGACTTTGCCTCTAGGGCCATCAAAACACTGAACCCTCATTTCTGACTTGCCAAAGTCTTCAACAGTGTGGGACACGGCAGGGGAGAAATGGCCTTCCTCTGAAGGGACTGCGCTGGCAGGAGAGGTGGGGTTTACTCAGTCCCTAGAAATAAACTTAGGGCTAAATATCAAGCAGGGACACTACCTACTGCTTACTGTGTACCTACACGCCCGACTCTGCTACATGCATTATACCAATTTATTAATTCTAATGGCTGGCCACCTGTCTTTATAGACAAGAGCATGGAGACACAGGGAGGTGACATAATCTGTCCACAGCCACATCGGGACAAAGTCACAGCACCAGGGCTGCAATACCAAACGGCCACCTCCCCACCCCGTCATGCCACCCCCCTTTGCAGGACAGACACCAGAGCACACTCAGAAGAGAAGACCTACTCCTGGAATCCCACCTGACGGCTTCCAAGCACACAACAGGGGAGCTGGCAGCCTCAGCTCCTGATCAAACAGCTTAGGATCTCCACGTACAGAGAATGACAGGAGTGGATACGGGGTAACAAGAATCCGGGCTGCCAGGACATGGAGGCAGATCCCTGGGAAGAACCAGAGATCACCCTCTTTCCACAGCCCTGGATGTTGGACACAATGGCCCAGACCAGTGCTGTCTGCAGAACTTTCTACAAGGATGGACATGTCTTATATCTGTACTGCCCATCGACAGCCACTAGCCACATGTGACTACTGAGCCTTGAAATGTGGCTAGTGTGACTAAGAACTTAATTTTTCTTTTTAACAAACTTAAAAGAGCCACATGCAGCTACTCTCAAATTGGGCAGCACAGATCCAGGTCTAGAATTGTCAGATTTCAGAGCTGAGAGTTCTGCTCAGACAAGTGACTTGTCCCAAGTCCTTCCACTAGACGAGGGGCAGAATATAGCCTCCAACTCGTGCCTCCTTCCTCCTGGACAGAGTCCTTCCAATGGCCGCATGGCTGGGGCCAAAAAGAAATTTCTGCTTTGAGTCCCACTTCCCACCCCAAGGCAGCTACATGGACGGCTCAATCATCCCCACTGTGAGTTGGGGCAATGAAAACCAATTCCAGGCCCCTCAATGCATGCCGCCTTTGCCTGGGGATAGTAATCCAAAGGGGTTCAGAGGTAAGATCAATTAGTTCATTAAAGAGATCTAGCAGGTTGCCTTTTCAGAATAAGCTGGCAACATTCAAATTGTAATAAAGATAATTATTCCCTAAACCACCTCAGTGACATTTCAAAATGGAACCTCCATGAACAACACCCCCTACTCCTTACAGTGACCCTGATTACGTTATGTGAGGGGAGGATCAGTTTTAAAGGGGTGCAGAAGGGAGCTGGCTTGTTAAACTGTTTTGCCCTAAGTTCCTCTGTCTGTAAGAATTTCATTACTATGGTATTTTGGATTCTTTCTAGGTCTGTCGAGAACCACAGGGTCATGGCAGCAAACTGGTTAAAGAGAGGCATGGCCCTGAGCTCCGCATCAGCTTCTCCCTAGGGGCAGTGCCAGGACCCAGCAATGGTGCTGGAGGACATAGGGCATGAGAGCACCAGGAGCACCTGACAAGGCCGTGTGCACACAGGACACTGGGCTCTGCGAAGGCCCTGCTGACATCCAAGGAAATCAAAGTGTCAGGACCATGCTCCCTTCTCACCTGGACTCGCAGTCAGGATGAACCAAGCAGTCTCTGTTTTCTTTTGGTCTGGTCATACAATCTTGCAGAGAGCGGGGGGGGGGGTGGTATTTCTAACTGTACAGAGATCAGATAGCTTAAGAAGACTGAAGCTTGCCTGTAGGTTCTCAGGACACAGCGCTCTGGTGAGGGAGACCTGTGGTGCACACAGCCATCCCAGATGGTGAGCAGGTCTCTAGCTGCTCGGCGTACAATGGCTGGGGCAGAGGCACGTTCCAGCCCCGCAGACAGTCGCTCTGGCCAAGACAACTGGGAACTAGAGTTCAGTACTAAGTGAGAAAGGCCTAGGAGCAGTTCCTCACAGAAGCTGGACTGTGGCGTGGGACAGCCCCAGGTCACAGATCTGTGTGGGGACAGGGGCGGAAGAGGCCCAAGGGGAGGACTCCAGACCCAGACCCAGACCCTGCTCAATCTGGGGGCCTGTGGCTTGGCAAACCCACTAACTTTGTGCCAGATTTCATCTGAAAGAGAGGGTCCCTGTGGCTTTGGTTTGAAAATATTAATTCTTTACAGTAAGATTGATGTTTTCCTGTAAGGAATGGGACCATCTCACATCTAGAACTAGTGCTGTCTCCTGCTCCCGTTTCTATCTCCTCCCCTGACCCTGAGGTCCACTCTCATCATAACAGCCAAAGTGAGCCTCACAAAATATCCTGATGTCAGTTAAGTTGGTTAAGTATCTGACTCTTCTTCTTTCTTTATTTATTTATTTATTTATTTGACAGACAAAGATCACAAGTAGGCAGAAAGGCAGTCAGAGAAAGAGAGAGGAAGGGAAGCAGAGAGCCTGATGCGGGGCTCAATCCCAGGACCCTGGGATCACTACCTGAGCTGAAGGCAGAGGCTTTAACCCACTGAGCCACCCAGGTGCCCCAAATATCTGACTCCTGATTTTGGCTCAGGTCATGATCTCAGGGTCAGGGGATCAGGCCTCATGATGGGCTCGGTGCTGGACATGGAGCCTGCTTAAGATTCTCTCTATCTGCCCCACCCCGCAACTTGCACATGTGTGTGTGCAAGGATGTGCTCCCTCTTCCTCTCTAAAAAAACCAAAAGCAAAAACAAAAACAAAAAAACCCAAAACCTAATGGAGCCACAGTTCAGGGGATGTCCTTTCCCTGTCTCTGGCAGCTTCTGGGGCCTGTGTGACCTGGTCCTCCATTACCTGGAAGATGTTATCTGCTATTACCACCCCCACCCCATACTCTGCTCTTGCCCCACCGGCCTCCTTGCTGATGGTCAGCGTGTGGACCTGCTCTCAGGGCAGGGCTTCACACTGGCCATGTCCTTGGCCTGAATGCTCTTCCCCAAGGGCTTGCATGGCTCCCTCCACCTCCCTGTTCAGGTCCTTGCTCAAGGTCATCTTCTTGGTGAGGCTTAGCCTGACCCTATTTCACACTTACCAGCCCTCCCAATACCCACACCTGCCCTGTGCTTTTCTCACACTATGCGCACTGTCTGCAGTTTGTCTACCTCTGTCTAGAATGTAAACACTGACAGCGGGAATTTTGTTTTATTCACTGTTGTATCACAAGTGCCCGTAGCCTGGCACAGGTTGGTGCTTAGTATTTGCAGAATGCCTACGAAGCAGAGACAGCTCTGAGTGCCTGGCTACCCAGGCAGCCAAGGAAGGGAGACCTCCATCAGCACTCCAGAAACCCATCAATGAGAAAAAGGAAAAGGGCGGGGTGGGTGATGGAGATGATCTCGGAATTGGAAGCCTTCCTTTTGGGACTCACGGTGGTTAGACCAATCGATGAAATGGATCAACACTTAGAGGCCCAACCATTTAATTAGAAAAACAGAGGTACCTTAGTAATTCCCAAAACTCCAATGTTAGGACTGGATGAAGTAGAGCCATTCCCAGTACCAAATATGCCATCGAGAACACAGGAGAGACCCTCCACGAAAATCCCCCTAAAATGTAAAGGAATGGGGGAAAGAGAAACATTCATTCAATGGGGGAAACACTCTGAAATACGCTCCAAGTGGCTGCACTCCAAAGGTGGTGTGCGCAGGCGGGGAGCCTCCACACTCCTGGGAAGGGTTATGAGTGCAGAGTCTCGGGTCCCCACCCCCAGACCTGCCGGAGCAGAGCCTGCATTCTATTTTAACAGGATCCCCCATGCTCATTCAACTGTGAGAAGCACTTCTGAGAACCACACATTAGACACAGGTGTTTAAAAACCATTCCAAATTAAAGGCTTTTAGCCAGAGCCATTGGTTGGGATAGAAGACAAATATGGGCTGTCTGCTGATCTGATTCCTTTACTATTAATAGTTTCATCAGGAAAGAAACGCTTCGTAATTCTGTCAACACTGCAACTTTTTAAAGAATCAATATATAAGTAGCTCTGTCATGTGCAACACCCTTTAGAGAAAGCTGTAAAAACCAGGAGTGTGAACACGAACAGAACCGAAGCAAGACATGCTCGGACAGCAGCGCACTGGATCTCATCACCCTCCATCCCTCCGGAAGGGCAGCGGCTGGCTGGCCGAGGGGGGGGTAGGGGCTGATCTGTGCTCTTCTCTGAGGCCTCCACAGGGTCCAGTTTGCTCTCAGCATCCAGAAACGGAAGACCAGGTGTACTGAGGAGATAAACCCTACAGTCCATAAGTCTCCAAATTCTGCAGACCGCACCTATGCCTGCTCCTTTCGTCTCTCTATACGGAAATTACAACCGTGAATAGATGACACAGCTTTTAGCCATAAGAACGTAAGAGAAAAAAGAAATCAAAGGGAACATCCTTCCATGACCCCAAATCAAGCAAAGAACAACGGCAGCATCCCGCATCTGTTGTGACGAGTTTAAGGTCTGGCAGGGTCTCAGAGAGTGTCTTCCGTGACTGTCAACATAGCAGGAAGGGTGGAGTTGCCCTCCATGCCCCAGATAAGGAAAATGAGAGCAAAATGGGGGCAGTGACTTGTCCAAAGCAGACAACCAATAAGGAGCCCTGATGGCTGGCTACTTCCATGCTGAAACTCCACTCCTTCTCTTCTCCAAGATTAACCAAAGAGCCAGGTGATCAGGCACTGGGCCCAAGGAAGAGCTCCACTGTCAGAGGAACGTACCTGTTTATTGCATGGATGGGAGGCGGCGGAGCACAGGAGAGCCTTGCGCAGGCGTAATAGTCCCCAATGGACTCAATAATACTGGCGACCACCGCGCTGAGCATGCCGATGACACCAGCGGCAGAGACGGTGGGCAGTCCCCACTGAACTACGGAAGGCAAACAGGCGAAAGTAAGCAGGACAGCAGAGGACTCCACACCATGTACCCAGGTTCCGAGCCTCGGGGAAAATCTTTGTTGATTTTTAAATGTCACTCTGAATTACACTACATGCCTGGGGACAGTTCCTAAATCAGATGAAGGTGGCCACAACTAGGATTGGTCTGTTCTCTTTCTTAGAGATAAAGTGATTAGAAGCAGAGGGTGCTTCCAAGCCACACTTGGTGTCTCTAAATTACAATTTAACACGGCCTGCTGGGGTAGAAATTCCTGTTGGGATGGGATATTTGTATGAAGAAGATTTTTAACCCTGCTGTGCAAGGCATGGCACAAAACAGTGGCGATCTTGCCCAGGGGGTGGCATTAAATGAAAAAGCAGTGAAAAGTCACCAGCTAAATTTAAATCCCAGCAGTAAAGCATAGCACCAGATACAGACAGTCCCCTAATGTAAGATCAGTGCTTTTTTTTTTTTTAAAGCAAACCATGTTATGCTAAATAGTTTCCTTTAGAAAAGCAAAGAAAAGTCCTTAGGACACCTTGTCTTGGATAGCTGGATTGCCACAAGAGCCACACAGGGAGACTGGGTTTGGGAAGAGAAAGAGGACAAGAAGTAAGGTGTGCAGATAAAAGCCTGGGATGTGTGTGAAGGCAGGACTCTTCCTGTCTGGGAGTAAAGGGGGACGTGCCTGGTCAACATGGCATTTCCGGGTGGGTTTGGAGATTTTTCTCATGCTGATAATTTCTTTATCCAGCAACATTTTTTATATAATCTCTAATCTAAATAATCTTTTACATAGTTATTGTGTTACTGACAGAGTACTGTAGTTTCATTTTAGTGTCTTGTTTTTGGGGGGATACTTACTTTGCCATTGTTTCTATTGCCTTTTATTTCTTAGTCTCTTTACTCTGTTTTCTTATTTTTTTTTTTTAAAGATTTTATTTATTTATTTGAGAGAGAGACAGTGAGAGAGAGCATGAGCGAGGAGAAGGTCAGAGAGAGAAGCAGACTCCCCGCGTAGCCGGGAGCCCGATGCGGGACTCGATCCCGGGACTCCAGGATCATGACCTGAGCCGAAGGCAGTCGTCCAACCAACTGAGCCACCCAGGCATCCCCCTGTTTTCTTATTTTTTTCCCATTTTACCTGCAGTCTTAAATGTGATTTTTAAAATCTTTATTCCAACTACTCCAACATTTTATTTTTTTTTTAAGATTTTTTTTATTTATTTGACAGAGAGAGATCACAAGTAGACAGAGAGGCAGGCAGAGAGAGAGAGAGAGAGAGAGGGAAGCAGGCTCCCTGCCGAGCAGAGAGCCCGATGCGGGACTCGATCCCAGGACCCTGAGATCATGACCCGAGCCAAAGGCAGCGGCTCAACCCACTGAGCCACCCAGGTGCCCCTACTCCAACATTTTAAATTGTACTTGTCTAAATTTTTGATCCCTCTTCCTTCAAATCATTTCTATATAAAGTATACCCTTGAACAACACAGGTTTGAACCACACTGGTCCACTTACTAGCAGGTTTTTTCCAATAAATACAGTACAGTAGTGTAAATGTATTTTCTCTCCCTTGTAATTTTTTTAATAACATTTTCTTTTCTCTGATTTTTTTGTAGGGATACAGTATATAAAACACGTAACATACAAAACGTGTTAATTGACTGTTGACATTGTTAGTAAGACTTCCGGACAATAGTAGGGCTTTTAGTAGTTAAGTTTTGGGGAGAAAGGTTATATGCAGATTTTCGGCTGCAGGGGTGAGGCACATCTCCCCACCACCTCCCACTTGTTCAAGAGTCAACTACAGGTTGACTTTGTTGGCTTCCAGCCTTCTGTCTGAACTGTTACTTCATCTCCCCTTATAACTAGAATGCCTAATTTATGTTGTCACTTCACAGCAGTTTCTCAGTCTCAGCACTACTGACATTTTGGGCCCCCAATCTGTATTTTAGCCATTTTTCTCATGCTAAAGACCAAGGACCACTGCTGTAGATATCTAAAAACCTGTCTCCAGATGAAGCCAAACTGTCGGGGTGCACTCTCTTGCTGTCTGGGGGTGCCCTTCTGCCCCAGGACTGGTGGCCCCAGAGCAGCTCGTGGCAGCAAAGGGCTGTGGTGAAGAGGAGCCCGACAGCGAGGGCCACCATCCTGGGGCCAGTAGCCCAGTCTACTTGGCCACGCCCCTCACGCACAGGCCAGAAGGACCCTGGGGACATCTCTCTGGTTTTTCAGCACATGCACAGCTGCTCTTCCGGAACAGCCCACTCCGTGTTCCTCGTCTGTGCTCATCTTAGGACTGGCCCGCACCACAGAGAAGACCTCCCGGCAGGTGCTCCTCCTACCGGCCTCCCACACCTCCTCCTGACTGCCTGGCCAACTGGTTTCACCTCATTTTATATCAGATTCTATGTCTGTTTAGAAAACATGCATTTGTTGTTTTGGAGGGGGAGGGACAGATGTACATAAATACATAAACCATATGATCTGATGAGAATGTTATTTTAGAAAGAATAAACTTAAGTATGAACAGGTCAGTGATGGAACAACTGCCAATATCACGGTCATTTAACATGCCCAGAACAGTTTTCTTTGACCCAACCTTGTTATTCTCAGTTTCTCCTACTTTTTCTCCTCATCATCATAAAATGTGAGGATGTGGCTGCTGAGCAGGGGAATAAATCAGCAGAACCCAACTAAGGTCAGGTTTCAGTTCTAATTAAAAGGCCCAAGTGCCGGGAACAGGGTCTTTACAACAGAACAACCAAGCATTAATAACCACTGGATTCACACAAGTCACTTTTGGGGCTGGGGCCCCAAAGTCCTCTGTGTGAATCCAAGTGATACCTCAGCTTGGGACTGCACCCCCCACCCCCGACACCTTGCCAAGAGTTACCCAACACTTAAATAATAACTCAAGAGCCATCTCCCACCCATTAGTGAGTATTCGTTTACTTCTGACAGCTGTGACCAAATAGAAAACAAAGAGTATAGCTCCCCATTAAGAGATGACACAAATCCCATCATGCTTGAGCAGTCGATTTGCTGATCTTCAGGCCTCTCCTACTTAAGCCTGCTCTGTGTGGGCAGCTCAGGTACCATGTGGCTCTATACTTGCCTTCTTCAACCCTGGCAAGGGACTCTTTGTCCAGGATTTCATCCCAGTGGAACCAAAAGTACTAGTTCATCTGGGAAGGGAGCTGGCAAGAGTCTCCGAGCATTAGTCACAGCCCTCTGGGGACAGGGCCTCCCCCTGTCTGCTGTCAAATCCTCCGAATTGTAAGACCTTCATGGGACATTCTAGACCAAAGAAGGCTTTTCAAGCTGCAGAGCCTTCTGCCACCTTCCAGCTCCTCTAAAAGAGGCTCTCATGAGCTCCCAACCCCCCTCCCTCTCAAACCCCCACCAGAGTACTTACATGGGTATGGGACCTTAAACCATGGGGCTACCAGAAGCACACCCTGCCTGGCATCCGTCCGAGCATAGAAGCCGTATTTTGTGCTGTCGGGAGGGAAGACGTCGGTCACTGTGAAGATGAAGCACAGCAGCCAAGACACGAGGATGGCCAGGATGATCTAAAGTGGTCAAAGGGAAAAGCTCCATGAGGCCAACCGAGGTGGTAGAGGCTGGCAAAACACACACCTTCCTCCTCTGGGCTGCATCTCACACCCCACAACCTCCACCATTGTTGGCACTTCGCAGGAAAAAACACACACAGACCTGCTGAGAGCCCATTCCTGGATGGAATCACATTCCAAGAGAGGAGTTTTATGCAGGTAAAGTTACTGTAACCCTCAGCCTGGCTAGAAAGTAAGAATAACGGACAATGTGCTTGCAGAGGCCATGGGAATACAGATCTCCCCATCTTGAACTGTGTCCTCCTTCACACTCCTGAAAGGATTTTAGAATCAGAACCTTCTGCCACTGGTAAACTTTAAGCCAATGACAATTTTGTGGTCATCAGTACCCTGATGTTACCATCCCGACTTAATTCCCCCGGGAAGACCTGCTTAAAACTTCCTTCCACATGAACAAAAGCAATGTTGTGAAAAAATGAAAGTGACTACTCACAGGGAACATTTTGAAAAGCTGTAACTTGTATGCAGTCCATCCTTTCTTGGATTTGTAAATTGGGAGAGGAAATTTAACATTTCTGGCATACTGCGAAAACAACAATACTAGGAAAATTGTCCTGATGAGAGAGAGAGAGAAAATAAACTCGGTTAAAGGCTATCTGTGTTTTAAAATAATACTCAAAGCTTCAACAGCAAAACTGACCATATTATTCAACTCATTTCTCTAGGAGCTGCTAGTCCTTTTAACTGTTATTTGGGAAATCTTATTTTTTTAGAAATGCCATTTTGGGAAAGATACTAGTTCTAAGTATATCTTGATGCCAAAGGAAACTGCCATATAAATGCTTTGGCTAAATTTTCCTGAACAGGACAAGAAAACCCAAAGAATGCACAGCCTCAGGAGAGATGCTCACACTGTGTAAAGGAAAAAGATACCACATACAAGACAATGCACACTAGAATCACAACTATGAATTAGCTATAAGACAAGCACTTGCCACACGGGCATGAACACACACGCACGTGTGCAAACAGGTAAGGGGGTCCCAAATGCTCACAGGGATTGACTACAGGTAGCAATATGTTTTGAGACTTTTCTACTTTCCCGTATTTTCTGATTTATGTATCAAGAGCATAAAGTTAGCTTCAAAAAGCAAAAAGCTTCAACATTTATGAAGGCTACATACAGGATTCAGTATTAATAACATTCCTGAGAAGTTTGTGTGTCAGACATTATGTGAGGGTTGAACTGCCCATCCCAGCCTTCTGCAGCAGTGGCTTCTCTGACCATCCACGTCCCAGACAGATAAAGCCAGTGGTCCAAGATTACACAGGCATGAGTTTGCGGGGGGAGGGGGGGCAGGGGGGTCTAGCTCTGCAGCCTGGGCTCTGAACTACTTTGCCACACTATCCTAAGAGCAGGGATGCTAGGGCTGGCTCAGAAGGCTATCCACCTCAAGCCCCCCACCACTGACCCAGCTGCACTGAGGATCAGAGGAGGCAGCAACATCAGATGACTGCTCTGCAGCAGGACCCGGCACGTCCTCATCAGCCCGCTACCAAGCACGGCAGGTGTGGGACGACTTCCCATTGCTGACACAATGAAGGTCTACAAAGACATGTTTCATTGCCCACAGGGATGCACTCTCACTTACGACCCGAAGGAGAGTTGGCACAAGAGTGGGTTCTCAAAGTTCAGCTTAATTGTTCCTGGGCACAGCTCCAATTGCAGAGATGGAATTATCAGCTCCGCTGACAGCCGGTCAAGTGCAGCTTCACTGTCACATTCCTAACGAGGCATGTGGTCTATAGCTAGCCGGAGAACAGGCTCAGGCTGCTCCATCCTCTCCCCACCTACCCAAGCACTTTACCCACCTGACGACGGGGGTCTCAGCCCAAATACAAAGTCATCGAGCCAGTACCAGTTTGAAGTTGGAAATACACATGTGCCCAAACTATTCTAATTCCCCCCAGGGTGGTAAAGTTTTAACTTAAAAATGTTATGGTAGGGGAACCTGGGTGGCTCAGTGGGTTAAACCTCTGCCTTTAGCTCAGGCCATGATCTCCGGGTCCTGGGATCAAGCCCCGCATCGGGCTCTCTGCTCAGTGGGGAGCCTACTTCCTCCTTTCTCTCTCTCTCTCTCTGCCTGCCTCTCTACCTATTTGAGATCTCTGTCAAATAAATAAATAAATATCTTTAAAAAAAAAAAAATGTTATGGTGAACACTTGGGTGGCTCAGTTGGCTAAGCGTCTGCCTTCGGCTCAGGTCATGATCCCAGGATCCTGGGATCAAGTCCAATTATCGGGCTCCCTGCTCAGCGGGGAGTCTGCTTCTCCCTCTCTGTCTGCTGCTCCCCCTGCTTGTGCTCGCTCTCTCACTCTCTCTGACAAATAAAATCTTTTAAAAAAATGTTATGGTAATGATGGGTGCTAAAACTGGTTTACTTTAAATTTAGATTAACATAAAGTTTTCATGTTCCAAAAAAATGCCGATTTATTTCAAAGTGAACACTATGAGATTCCAAAAGGCCCCAAGTCTATTATTCAGGCAACAGCCACCTGTCATTGCCTGCACTATGGTGTTCACGTTTTAAAGCATGTTTCAAGGGGAGAGGGGACAGAGAATTCCAGGAAGGACACCCAGGTCTCAGGCCAAACCTGGCCGTGCAAATGAAGCGGGCGGACTAGGCAGATGGACGCTCCATTTTCCTGCCACTCTGAAACCCATTCCCCCCCCCCTTCTAATTTGTCCTCCAACAGCCTGTGTAGCAGGTGGGGCAGGCAGTCCCATCACAGAGAGGCCACAGCAGAGGCTCACAGGTGAGGGATGTGCCCAAGCCCACGCATCTTGGCCAAGCAGAGAAGGGGAAAGGATGAGCCAGCCGCAGGTCCTCAGGCCAGGGTTCGGTCCAACCACAGGCTTGCTGACTTTCTACCGGACAAATATTATGCAAGCAATGCAGACTACAATGTAGGAAAATTATAAAAGACAAATAAGCAAAAAGAAAGACAAAATCCTAAAGACCACTCATCACCCCAGCTGGGTAACAACAACGTAACATTCAGCCTATAGGTTCTGAAGAGCTTCCACTCCCTGGGTATTTACAAGGCATCACTGGGTCTGGGGCACCAGGGTTAGAGAGGGACATGGGACCACTGACGTCACCCTTGCCTTTGAAGCACTAATGGGTCATCATCTGACCCAAAATGGAATTGCACTTCACAACATGCTTCCCAACTAGCTTGTAGCCCCTATTAATGACACAACCTCAACAGATGGAAATAAGCAACAGCACCTCAGTGGCTACTTAGCGTTCTGCCTTAGGCACATACCATGTCTTGTTACACAATTTCCACATGGTGTGACACCAGGAGCATAAACAACCGTGGTAGATCACCCCTCCTGGCACCTGTCTACACATCTCCTTAGGGCAGGTTCCTAGGACTGGAATGGATCTGTCAAACAGTAAATGCCTTACGAAAAAGCTCCTTTTTTCCTTATTAAAAAGCTTCTGATACAAACTGCCAAATACACAAAAGTTGAAAGAATTTACAAATCCCACCCAGAGACCAAAGACATCCACTTGCTTCTCACTGCAATACCAGGTCTTATACTTTTTTTTTTTTTTAAAGATTTATTTGAGAGAGAGACACCAAGAGAGAGCAAGTGAGGAGGGGCAGAGGGACAGGGTCCCTGCTGAGCTGGGAGCCTACCAGGGCCTGATCCCAGGACCCCGAGATCATGGCCTAAGCCGAAATCAAGAGTCAGGGGCTTAACCAACTGAGCCACGCTGGCGCCCCATAAAGTCTTATACTTTTAAATACCTACCAATTTTGTCAATTTAAAAAATTATCGTCATTTATTTTAACTTTCATTCCTTACACTGAAGAGTATGTATCTCAGCATTGTTCACAACAGCAAATGCTTCAAACAACAAGCATGAGTATCAATGGGGGAATGGTTTCATAAATTCTACACTATTCCATACTATTTAGCATTGTGCAATTTTACAAAGAATGGAGTAGATCTAAACACACAGTGTTAGAGAGATGAGCCCGGAAAACTGTTAGGGTGAAAAGCAGACGATCCAGGTAAAACTATGTCTGTCACTATGTTCGTGTTCAGGCATACAGGGCAAATACGAACTTCTCACTCATTAATCGTGACTTTTTTTTTTTTTTTTTTGAGGGGTGGCAGTGGGTAGGAGAAAATATTACTTTAATTTAGATTTCCCTGTTTACTGTTAAACTTCAAATGACTAGAATTTTAAATATATTTAATATATGCGGTGATGGTACATGGGGGTTCCTTACACTATTCTATATTTGAACAGGTTTGAAAACTGTATGAAAGTAATCAAAATAATGTTTTCTCATGAAAAGCAGTTCTCATCCAGGACCAATGCTTGGAGTTGGAAATGTCACCCCATTTATCCTCTCTTGAGAACCTGCCTCTAACTGTGCCTCTCTTGGCTGACTTAGGAACCCGTGTCAGTACAGTCTAACTTACCACCACTGCCCCCACTGCCAATAAAATCCCTATGAAGGGGCGCCTAGGTGGCTCCAGCAGTTAAGCAGCTGACTCTTGATTTTGGCTCAGGTCATGATCTCAGGGTCCTGGGATCAAGCCCCACATTGGGCTCCACGCTCAGCGGGGACTCTGCTTCATGATTCTCTCTCTCTCTCCCTTTGTCCCTCCCCCAGCTCTCTAAAATAAATAAATCTTAAAAAAAAAAAAAAATCCCTGTGAATATGCAGCATTGTGATAACCAGGGAGGCTAACCCCTTTTACATACTAGTTAGCTATTTATACTTCCTTTATTTGATTAAATGGCTGCTCATATGATACCCTTCATCCATTATTCCACCAGGACTCTCCCTTAATGAAACTATAAATTAAGGACCTTAACCTTTAATGGAATTTGTTGTAAATATATCCAAGATTCATTTATAATTTAGTTTGTGGTTTTTTTTTTTAAAAGGTCTTATTTATTTATTTGACAGACAGAGATCACAAGTAGGCAGAGAGGCAGGCAGAGAGAGAGGGGGAAGCAGGCTCCCCACCAAGCAGAGAGCCCGATATAGGGCTTGATCCCAGGACCCTGGCATCATGAACTGAGCCAAAGGCAGAGGCTTAATTTCAGTGGATTTTGATGGGAGCTTTAAATGCATCAGTAGTGGGGCGCCTGGGTGGCTCAGTGGGTTAAAGCCTCTGCCTTCGGCTCAGGTCATGATCCCAGCATCCTGGGATCGAGCCACGCATCGGGCTCTCTGCTCAGCAGGGAGCCTGCTTCTCCCCTCTCTCTCTGCCTGCCTCTCTGCCTACTTGTGATCTGTCAAATAAATAAATAAAATCTTTAAAAAAAAAAATTTTATTCAAGCGAGACCCTTCTATTCCCATACTGCTAATAGTTGACAGCAGAGATAGAGACTGAATTTGATTTAGTTGTCATCATGGTTTTTTATTAATTAAATCCAACATGGGCCTATAATAAGTTTTCTAGGGACGTCTGGGTGGCTCAGTTCATTAAGCATCTGCCTTCAGCTCAGGTCAGGAGCCCTGCATTGGGCTCCCTGCTCAGTGGGGAGCCTGCTTCTCCATTTGCCTACTGCTACCCCCCACATGTGCTCTCGCTCTCTGACAAATTAATCTTTAAAAACTTTTCTTGGGGAGGGGGGCACCTGGGTGGCTCAGTGGGTTAAGCCTCTGCCTTCGGCTCAGGTCATGATCTCAGGGTCCTGGGATCCAACCTGGCATCAGGCTCTGCACTCAGCAGGGAGCCTGCTTCCCACCCCCGCCACCCCCCCGCCCGCCTCTCTGCCTATTTGTGATCTCTGTCAAATAAATAAATAAAATCTTAAAAAAAAATAAAAATAGAAATAAACTTTTTTTTTCTAATATTTAATCATCCTTGAGTTCCTAAAATGACACACATAGTGTGCTGGCTTTTTTATTATTATCTATAGCATCATTTTCCCAAACCATGTTCCAAAGAACATTCTTCCAAGATACGCTATTAGATATGGCACTAAAAAAATAAACTGTGTGTGCAGAGCTGGACACCAAGGCCTTTTTCTGGGGGGGAAAAAAAAAAGTCTTCTGCACACTTGGCTTTTAAAAGATCAGGGGCGCCTGGGTGGCTCAGTGGGTTAAAGTCTCTACCTTTGGCTCAGGTCATGATCCCAGGGTCCTGGGATCGAGCCCCACATTGGTCTCTGCTCAGCGGGGAGCCTGCTTCCCTCTCTCTCTGCCTGCCTCTCTATTTGTGATCTCTGTCAAATAAACAAAATCTTTAAAAAAAATTAAAAAAAATAAAAGATCACAAGGAGACAAAGTAGAGAAAGACGCTAAGCTTTGGCACGCCACTACCTAAACATATCTGCACTAAGCTTGGGCTTGACACCAGCCATAGGGAGGAAAGAAAATGTTAGTCCAGAACCTCCCTTTGGTAGTAGCTCTGTCAGAATCTGCCATGTAGGGGCGCCTGGGTGGCTCAGTGGGTTAAAGCCTCTGCCTTCCGCTCAGGTCATGATCTCAGGGTCCTGGGATGGAGCCCCGCATTGGGCTCTCTGCTCAGCAGGGAGCCTGCTTCCCCCTCTGCCTGCCTCTCTGCCTACTTGTGATCTCTGTCAAATAAATAAATAAAATCTTAAAAAAATAATAAAAAATTAAAAAAAAAAGAATCTGCCATGTAGATAAAACTGGCTGGGAAGTTTCCCTGGTTTCTCAAAGTGCCAGAACCACTGAACGGGTGTGGGAATTGGCCCTTCCTTGAAATATAATATACTCACTAACCACTAGAGCCCAGAACGTTTTTTAGGGATAAAATCCTCTGACAGCATTCTTGCCTCTTCCTGCGGTCAGGGGTGTACTCACAAGCCCCAGTCCTCCCCTTGCTTATTACGAGGTGCTTACTAAACACCTGCTCTGTGACAGGCAGTGGGCCAGGTGCTGGAGGTGTGAGGGGACCAGCACTGAGCCGAATCCTTACAGAGCTGGTAGCCCAAGTACAAAAGAAGTTGGCTGGAAACTGAAAAACAGGAGAGGGGCGCCTGGGTGGCTCAGCGGGTTAAGCCGCTGCCTTCGGCTCAGGTCATGATTCCAGAGTTCTGGGATCGAGTCCCGCGTCGGGCTCTCTGCTCAGCAGGGAGCCTGCTTCCCTCTCACTCTCTGTCCCTGCCTCTTCGCCTACTTGTGATCTCTCTCTATCAAATAAATAAATAAAATCTTAAAAAATAAATAAATAAAATAAAAAACAGGAGAGCCGAAAGGAAAAGCTAGACAGTGGATACACAGAAACAACTGAGGAAATTTCCCCATGAACAGAGAAAAAAATGATTTGGAAAGCAGAGGAAGGGCTTGGAAGGTCCAACATTCTAAAAGTTCCAGAAAGGGACAAGCAGGAATAGAGGGGAGGAAGGCATCCTTGAAATAATTCAGGATCATTTCCCACCCCGCCCCCACATGTCTGAGATTCCAGAGTGAAAAGGCCCCAAGGGCCCAGTGCAAGATATAAACAGAACGAGGGACAGTGAGGAAGGTTTCAGACACAGAAAACAAAAAGACCTACAAGCTTCCAAAATTCTAGCTTGTGTCCAAGTAGAGTTTCACAAGGCGGAGAAAGGAGCAGAGAGTAACCAAGTACTTCACAGGGCTGTGAATGGGCAAGAAGGGAGCAAGCAGAAGTTGGAGACCAGTCTGGAAGCAATGACCAAGGATGAGGACTGTCCAGTGGTGGGACGGGCTCTGGAGGTAAGGCAGAAAGACGGCGTGCACGTGGGGGGGGGGGGGGGGAGCAAAGAATCAGGGACACCTGCAGGACTTCTGGCTTCACCAGCTGAGTGTGTGTTGTGGCCCTGATCGTGAGGAAGATGGCAGGAGGGGAGGAGTGGTTTGGGAGTCAAAAGCTTGACACTTTCTTCCTCTGAAGTTTGAGGTGTCTTGTGTCCCAGCACCTGGAGGGTGCAGGCCAGGGCTTGGACCTGAAGTCTAGTGTCCGGAGGTCTGGCTGCAGGCTTCTGTGGAAGTCACCAGCACAACAGAGGCTTGTCGGGGTTGTGCACTACACGGGGTCCCCCAGGGGAAAAGCATGTGGCGGGGAGGCAGCCTGAAACCAGGTTCTAAGGAACCCTGGCATTGAATGATCAGGGTGAGGAAGAGCCTGTTTGGGTTTTTATGCTTTTCTGGGAACCACCTATTTTATTAATTTGCTGTTGTTGTTTTTAGATTTGGGGACAGGAGCTAGAACTCTTCCTCCGTGGACCTAGGGCTTTATCCTCCATTTGGGCCTTCACCCCCTTCCCTGCTCAGTTAGCCTTGCCAGAAGCGTGTCCACGTGTTATTTTCCAAAGAACCAATGTTGGGATTTTTCACTTTTATTTTTTCCGTATTTTTGTATATGTATTAATTTTTGGTCCCCTGTTTCCATTAGCCTCATTTCTATCCTGTTTTTCTAAATTATAGAGATAAGCTCTTCATGTACTTTGCCTTTAAGATTGTGTGGGTTTTTTAAGATTTTTTAAATTTATTTGAGAGAGTGAGAGAGTGGTGCAGGGGAGAGCAGAGGGAGAGGAATAAGCAGACTGAGCCACCCAGGCACCCCAAGATTGTGCGGTTTTTTTAGCACTCTGCTCTGTGGGATTGGTCGGTTCTTACCCTAATCTTCTAAAATTATCAGTAATTGTGAACTTTCAATTTCCCCTCTGACTAGGAGCAATTTATAACAGCACTTTCCAGCTTCTAAGTGATCTGGGGGTTTTGTTCACCCTTTTGCTGCTGGTTTCTCATTACCGTGTGATGGTAATTACATCTTCTCCTTCTTGCAACTTACTGCATTTCACTGAACAGACATTCTTCCACACCCTTCTATACACCCGTGCTGGTGTGGGCAATACTGACCAACCTTCAGTGAAATGAGAAAATTAAGAACAATCCCGGACATTTCCACATACCTTAATCTGTAAGGAGAGATGGATTATAATTTCGCAAGGATGCACTTTACTCGTTCCAGCACAGACCGGCAGGATTAAGTGTTACAGGGTAAATTCTGGTCGGACTGTTTGGGTTCTGAAAACCATCGCAGCCACTTACTGGCTGTGCAAGCCTGGGCAACGAACTTTGCCTCTTTGTGCCTCTGCTTCTTTTCCTGTTGAACAGGGCGAATGGCGGTGCCTACCTTAACTTACAGTGCATACGAGTGTGTGGCAAAGCTGTACCAAAGCACGGGCTCGGGCAGGGCGCATGCTGTTAGACACTTACAGAAGACCTCACAAAACAAAACCACCGGAAAATTCCTTTCTATGATTATTTATTTACTTGGTTTTAGGAATTTCACTGATTGGCAAAATTCCAGGTTTTGTACCATTTCCCTCTGACAAGATCAACTCTTATATGTGCTCTTCAAGCACACAAAAAGAATGCGGGTTCTATTTGTGGTATAGAGTTCTACAGCTCTAATAATCAATCTTATAATATTACCAAGATCCTGGATGTCTTTACTGACAACACATCAAGGGGTAAATGACATCTTTAATGGACTCGCACTTCCACACTAAAGGACCAGCAATGCCTGGCAGGACTCAGGCGGGGCCTTGGCCTCCCACAGGTGTAGGCAGGAGCCTGGGGAGTCACATCTCCTTCAATGCCAACACACCGTCCTACAGCATCCCTGTCTCCTGCCAACCTGGAAGGTTTTTTTGAGTCTCACCTAAAGGATCTGGCTTCTCAGTGTTTCCATTCATGTGCAAGCAACTTGGCATGACCTCAAAAGTTAAAAACTAATGGCATCACCATTTTACACCCCCTTCCTAAAGCCCGAAGCCTTACAACCCTCCCTCTACACATGGCTGCTAAACAGGTCTTTGGAATACCTTGACTGCAATGTCACTCCCCAACCTCTGGGACTTAAACCCTTCAATAACTTTCTGCCAAGAAACAAATCAAGTTTAAACTGTCAGACTATTCTTACTTTGAAATAAAAAAACAAAAATACCACCTATCTCCTAAGGTCTGTGTAAATGCTCAGAACACCACGAACCCCCACCCCACGCCGCTGAGGCTGCCGCTGGGTGGTGGGAAGGGGAGGTGCTGACGGTCTGTGTCGAGTGGTCCAGAGCACTCACAGCATGGCGATGCCCCAGTGCTTCCCTGCTCTCTCTCCTGCTGCCTGGAAGCCGGACAGCCCGATGAGGGCCACCGTGGGTGTAATGGTCAGGGGCCCGATGTATTTCAGCAGAGCCCCAGGCAGGCCGAGGAGGCCAATGACCACTTCTATCAGTGAGGACATGATGATGGCACCCTGGATCTGGAACGAGAGAGGCCAAAGACAAGAGAGTGAGCAGCCTGTAGATCAGAGACTCCAAATGTCACCCGCAACCACACCGGACAGCTCTGCCAAGCAGCGACTTACTATCTAACAGGCATGACACAGCTGGAAAACTCCTGAGGCCTCAAAAGAAACCAGTGGAGTGAGTGGGGTCTAGCCAACCTATGAATCCCATGGTCACCATAGGAGCATCACAGAAACGGGCACTGATAGATGCACAGCCAACCTGCCTCCCCACGGACAAGTGAGAGAGTTATCATTCCCGCTCAAGACATGGGACATTCAAAGCCAGCCTGAGAGGAACACTCCAGCACAGACTCTAGAGTGAGTCCCTGAGGGACATTGAGAAGGTAGTATTATCGATACAAATTCTAAAAGAACCCTCCTACAGTGGAGAAGGGCTGTGTCTGCATCCATTCTGAACTAATGGTAAAAGATCTTCCAGGTTTGGGAAGATCTGGATAAACCGTCAGCCATTCTTCACCGCTGAGGACTCCCAGCCGTGTTCTCTTGCCCTCTTCTGTTCAAGGGCACCAAAGCAGACCAGTATCTTTTAATTCCTTCCCCACACACGGGCAAACACAAGCTGGGATGAAGAGTTCTACTGCCCGTAGGCCAGCCTCTGTCACTCCCTGCCAGGGAGCTGTGTCCCGCTGGGCCGGTTACACTGGAGGTTACACATCTGGTCTGTGGACACACAGTGAGGGGCAGGGAGGGAAATGAAGGGCAAGAAACAACACTGGATGGTGGCATAAAGCATTTCTGCACGCTTCATTTTATGGTGATGGCACTTTAGTTTCATGGAAGAAATAAACATGTCCCAAGTTGGAAAAGAAAAGGAGGGCTTAGCGCAAGGAAGCACAATTTCTTGGGAAGCAGGGGAGAAACACAAAGAAGTCGCATGCAGACAGTGCTCGTGTTTTACCTCGCGTATCCGGGGGTACCAAATGTGCTCTGTGTGCAGCAGCTCTGTGGTTCCATTGGACACTGAAACATCTTGAAAACAAAAACAAAGACAATATTTTTTTGGAGTGACACTGATGTTTCACAGGATATATTCATTTCACTCTTTGTAAGGAGAAATTTCTTCCCTGTTTTACATGTATTTGTATAAAATACCCATCCCTGAAATTCCAGTTACGACAGTATGGCTTACCATACTGAAAGGTGGACTCCCAACGCTAACGTAACCACATGCAGTCATCGACTGAGCGCTCCCCGGCGCTCAAAAGCTGACTGAACTGGGGATGCATACTGCTAGTGGCCTCCTCACACAAAGACCAACCTTTGCAAGCAGCGGAGCTAACTGAAATGCCTGATAGCAAGGCTGCTGACTGAGGTTTTCTAAAGTTTGGAGAAAACAGAGGGCTTTTTCCAGTTCCTAAATCAAATCCGTGGTCACCAAACTAACTCCTAGGAGCAAGGAAGGAAACAAAGGTTGGAAAACTTTGCTCCTAGAACCAAAAAGTGTAACAGTATTTTGAGAGTACAACAGGACTATCTGATTTTTCTCAAACCCCCTATCTGATTTTTTCCTGACCTTATCAGGCCATTTAAGGATCTCTGTAATCACTAACGGGGTGGGGTGGGGTGGGGAGTGAAAGTCATTTGCAGAAAACCAAAGCAGCCAGGTCCTTCAAAAGCAAAGATCGTTCAGAGAAGGGATGCTGATGCAGCAAAGAGAGTGATTACTGGTGGTTCATAAAATCCACTGAAAGAAAAGAGGCAGAAAAATAGCACAAATGTTGTTCTAGTCCATTCCCATATTTATCAAATTCATTAGCATAGAGAAATGAGGCTCCTTCTGGTCCTTACTTGCTCTGGGGTTAGGGATGAACGAGTGGGGGAGAGAGAGAGACAGAAACACGATCCACAGACTGGAGTGTTCTAAGCGGTTTGTTGGTTTGTGTGTTCTGTGCCCGATTCCAGAAAGGATTTAAGGCCGCCGAGGGCAGCACGTCCAGGCCTCCCTTCTATCATCTGCACTAAGGGACCCCAATGACGTACGTGGAAATAACTGCAGTTACCTGTGGTGTTACATTTCCATTTATCTAAAGACAGGATGGCTCGAGCAGGGGCCAGAAATGCAAAAGCACTGGCCTGAAACAGGGGTAACCTAAAAGAAACGAGACCAAAACCATGATCACGGCATCAGGAACTACCGAGGTAGTTCACGATTTGACAGCTTAACAGTCTTTTCCATAGACACACAGCACATGAGTAAATGCAGGCACGCGCGGGAGAAAGAGCCCCAGGCTACACCGATCTCCTCTGCACGGCCAGGGCCGCCGGCTTCTCCGTCCTCCCCTCCTGCTGCTCTCCCCACACACAGCCCCGCATGGGCCCTGGGGGAGCCCTGTGGTCAGCGCCCACACCCCAATACCAGGCCCTGCCATCACCACCTTTCCCCTCGGGGGTGGGGGATGTCGGGCATTTGGGCGTCTTGCTCTCCTGCTGAGCTTGTGAGCTCCTTCTTAAACACCGGTGTGTCTTCCAATTTACCACCCTCCTCCTCCTCCCCTTCACATCCTTATTGGTTATCACAGGAGAAAAATCTATCCCCCACCCCACCCGTCATTCCGTTTTGTAAATCAAAAACTGCCCTAAATCCTATAGGATAAGCATCATAATCACATTAGTGATCTAGAACTACTGAGGAAAGAAAAGCTGTAAGTTACAAATCAAGGTAGACATAATATCCTGCTTAATCATAAAAAATACTCAAGAGTTCTAAACCCTATTTTTTAAAGAACCCCGAAAGCATGCAGACTCTCTGTAAAATCTCCCGCCTTCAATCCTCAAATGCCACCATTCAATTACATTTTAGATACTCCACGCTGCCTTTCTGAACACCTGAGCTACTCAAATTCACCAAAAGATTTTTGAATGTGTACAACATTTCAGCTATAATTGAATGAAGGTAGCTTTACAGGCTAACATGAGAACTTGACTGCTATTTTTAACATTTTCAGGGTGAAATCTAAAAATGACTCCTGTCGGCAGGGTTGGCAACTCCCAGATGTTCAGATCCTTCTGAAATACTCCCCAGCAGCCTTGTGTCAGCGTCCTGGCCAGCGGACCAGCACCTGACACATGCCCCTCTGTGCTGACAGCACATCTGACCCCAACTGGAACAGGAAGTCGGCTAAGAGGAGGTGGCTCCGGCTGAAGGAGCCTTGTTACAAGCCCAGAGCTGGCACACCCCTCTCTGCGCCAGCCACGGGCTCAAGATTCTCTTGTTCTCCTGACTGTTTCAGTCACGCCATGAAATCCCTGCGAGTAGGCAGGATGCTGGCTGGCGCTAGGGTGCAGAGGCGGGCTGCGTGGGACAGACCAGAGGCATTGCTGGCCGTCATTCATGTGGGCACGCCCTCTACCAACCGTCCATTTATGATTACCTGTCGGAAGGGCCCAGAGCACAGTACCATCGAAAGTGGGAGTGAAGGTCACCTGAAGTGGGAATATATATTAAAGGAAAACACTGTTTGGTTTGATAAATTTTCAGAAATGCCCTGAAGGGGCAAAGGGAGGTCAACATCTAATCTGGAATGGATGCCGTCTCAAATGGCCCAAATAACATCTGCTTTACTATCGTTTTGGATTTCCAGCATCACATCCCAGGGCCACATAACGTGGACTGCATTTAGAGACCTCGTCCTAGAAATGGTGCCATCAACACCACACTGGTTGACTCACTGGTAGGAAAGTAAAGACCGGCTCTGGGTTCCACTCCCAGGGACATGAACTACTCCTGACCTCGTCTGACCAGACCATCACCTGGGCACCTTTCAGGGCAAATATTTTATGGCTTAACCATGACCAAAGGTCCTGAGAACACAGCTGCCAAGAATCTCCCTCATTTCAAGCAATTGGGACCCTGCATTCCTTTGAAAGTGTGTGGTAACAGAAAATCCCCACCTGTGCTACCCCAGGCTCGCAGGACTCTGGAAAGGGCTGGCTCACGCGTTCACGGTTCAGCCCCGAGCACACTGCCCGCCCCGCGCAGCGCTGGTAGGAGGACAGGGGCGGCTGCTGTACACACTAGATACTCTCAGCGGCTGACGGGGCTTTCTGAAGCTCTTTCCCAGCAGACAGCTGACCGTATGCCTGCACAAGGCTCATCTTCTACACTTGGTCACACGCCAGTCACCGCCTTGGATCCCTGGGCTCCCCCATGTGGGCAGGACAGCCCACTCTTTTACTTTGTCCTGACGGCAGAAGGGAAACGAATCAAACTGTGCCTGTCTTTACACCGGGGACTGGCAAACCGGTCCATGAACCCAATCTAGCAAATGACTTGTCTTTGTGAGGAAGGTTTCCCCAGGACACAGCCACAGCTGTCTGCAGCTGCTTTGGGGTTACAATGGTGGAGTCTAATAGTCCCAAGAGAGACCACAGAGCCCAAAATGTTTACTGCTTGTCCCTTTACAGAAAAAGTGTGCCGCCCCAGTGGGAAAGTATTATCTGAAACATGGGAAGAGGTGGTAGGTTTTTGCAGATGAGCTTTTAAGGTTAATAGTGTCCCTAAACGTTAGGAGGAAACAAATCTGAGCAGACAGGCACCTTTACCGTGCTGACGCATTCCCATGTCGGACTCCAGCCTTAGGATGGAGAAAAGCCTAACCTAAGCCTTACTTCCTTTAAAACTCTGCTGGAGGCATCCCATTTCCTCCTCCGAACCCAGGAGACCAGAGCCTTGGGCCCCAGGCTCTTTCTCAGCAGCCCCTTCACAGACCTGCACTCTAGCTTCTCACTTCTGAGCCTTTGCCCTTCTCAGTCATCAACTCACTTCCAACAATCAATTTTTATTCCTCACTCAAAGGCACAGAGAAAATACCACGTCCTCCAGGAAACATTCCAGGATCTCCTTCCTTGGGTTCAAAATGCGTTCCCCTATAACTCTGGCTTTTCTGTCCAGGACTTCTCCCAGTCACCCTGCAAGCTGCCAGGAAGCTGCTTCATGATCCCTGGGGTGCTGGTTAAAAACAGCAATTTCTGCACCTCACCCTGGCCTGGTGCATCAGAGTCTCGGATGAGGCCTCCAATCTGCATACGGAACCATCATTTCTGGGTAAAGCTGAGGCACCAGGCACCACAAAGGCAGACCACCCCTGTGCCGGTAAAGGGATTTACTGCTTTACAGTGACAGAAAAAACGACCCCCGGGCTGCCGAGGAGTTTCTGCTGTGCGAAGGACACAGCTAGTCACGGCCACACACGAAGCTGGGGATGGCTGCAGGAGCAGTCACCGACCCAAACTAAAGGGCCAGAAGCACTTCGCCACACGTGGGAGGGGCTACAAAGAGTCCAGGCAGGGAGAAGAACAGGCACAAACTCGAGCCACAGCAGCCTCAGGAATCCTCTGAAACTGAGAACCGCAGGCACCTGACAGTGGCTGGGGGCCAATGTACTGAAGGTCAGGGCAGACCCGGGGCAAAAGCCCCACACTGTGCCAGAAGGCAAGAGCAATCTTGCTCGGAAAGGACCACTGTGGGGGAACTGGGAAAGGTGACCTTAACCCCAAAACATTCTCAGAAGGCATTCTAACAGGACATGGCCTGACTCCGTTTGTGGTCTGTGCGTCGCTGACCCGCTCATGCTGCGGCGTCAACTCCAGGACCCGCCAGCCCAAGGCAGGTCTGTGCGTGCACCTCGGCCTCCATGGGCTCCCTCAGTAGCACCTAAGCACTCTGTGCTGCCGAGCTCCCTGCACGTGGACCTGCCCCTCTCCCCACGGGGCCAGAACCGCCTGACAGTAGAAGCTGGGCCCTTTTCACCCATCATCATTGCATCCCCAGGACCAACCTTCACTTTGCAATTAATGAATGAATTAAAAGCACTATTTACAAATGCTATTCTTCAAGAAGAATTTTATTAGACTAGAAATAAGAAGTCTTTTGGGGACACCTGGGTGGCCCAGTCAGTTAAGCGCCTGCCTTGAGCTCAAGTCATGATCTCAGGGTCCTGGGATTGAGCCCTGCATCAGGCTCCTTGCTCGGTGGGGAGCCGGCTTCTCCCTTTCCCTCTGTTGCTCTCCCTGCTTGTGCTTTCTCTGACAAATAAATAAATAAAATCTTAAAAAAAAAAAAGTCTTTCTGCCATGTTGATTTTAACAAATCAAGGAAAGGACTTTTTTTTTGGTAAAGATTACAAGCACTGGGTAGAGAGGACAGAGAGTCAAATGTGCATGAATATTCCAGACAAAAACCTGACAACTTCCCCAGGCCCTAGGGGCTAGCAATCCTCCCTGGTATCATCAGGAGAAACGTTTTTAAAAAGTTTAAAAGGGTAGGTCAGCCCTACAAGCAGCACCTGGAAGGTAAGAAATGTTATCTCCCTGGAACTGAATCATTTAATGAAAACGAGTAAAACAAAAACAGTCACTCAACACAGAAAGTACACTCTGTGCCTGGATTCCCGATCTACCAAGAAAGCAATTCAGCTCATGCAAAACATCTCGTTGTCAAATAAATATATACTTGAGTCTACATTGCAGCACAATTTTAAAATAATCTCTAAAAAATACAAAACAGGCTCCACCTCAAGGAACTATAGTTTCACAACTGAATCTGTCATCAGGAATGTATATCCTCAGTCCCTTAAGGAAAAGCAAAACACAGTTTGTCAAAGGAAAACTCTTACCTGCTACCATTTTCCTATTATTTCCCATATGTATGTTCTATCAGCTGAACTATCTGGAAAGGAGCTTGAATCTTCTAAGAATAAACACCCCCCCCTACATCATCGCTTTCCCATGTCATACCCAAGGATGACATTAATTTAACAATGTTATCTACTCTTCAGGCCATATTTAAATTTATTTATAAAAGTGCTTATACCTGCCCCTACTCCCCCAAATCCAATCAGAGTTCCTATACTGCATTTGGTTGTCTTGTAAAATGTTTAGAACCAGGCTAAACACTTCCAGCAAGGAGACTGCTCAGGTGTTGTGCACTTCTTAGAGCATCCCATGAGCAGGCCTGCCCGGTATATCAGATTGTCCCAGGAGGTGGGAAAGCCTGGTTAGGGCAGTGACTGCTAGACTCTCCATTTAAAAAGGACCTTTTTCCTTTTGTAATTAATAAAATATCTGTAGGGTGATTCTTAGACTGTGTGA